TATTATTGCGCAAAATTTAAAAACAAACAAACAAACAATGCTTGTTAAACATGCAAGCCAGGATTACAGTTTACAGAAGCTAACTAGCCAAAAAAAAATCAAGATTTTCAGTGGATGGTGTTTCAATGCTGGAGAACAGTAGGTTATCATGGTGGTGCTAAAAAATCAAGATTTTCAGTGGATGGTGTTTCAATGCTGGAGAACAGTAGGTTATCATGGAGCACCACCATTATTCTGATAGATCAATCCAAATAAGACATTTTTAAATGCTAAGCCAAATGTCACTATTCTATACTCTTTTAGCCTTAAGTTCACACTTAAACAGAATTAAACGTATACTAGAGATTAGGAAAACATATGAAACATTAATTTTTTCACACTTAAACAGAATTAAACATGTACTGGAGATTAGAAAAACAACAGAAGCCTTAATTTTTGTGTAAGTAAGGCCAATTTGAAAGATGCATTATTTTTTGTGTGTGTAAGTAAGGCCAAATTGAAACATGCATTTTTTAATTTGTATGCATAAGGCCAATTTGAAACATTCTTTTAAAATTTGAACAAGTAAGGCCAATTTGATAGGTTTCTCACTTAAAGCTATAAATTCTTTTAAAGTACAATACACATAATTTTCATTTTCTGACCTGCTGGTGATTTTTTGAGCCCTAAATTAGTAGCTTATTTCATTTATAATTTGTTCTTTCTCAACTAGAAAATGTTTTAAGAATATTGACCAAAAAGGGCAGTCAACAAATGTCCAGATTTTGTTTTCAACAGTCCATTCAAGGGTTTACTTACATATATATATAAAGTAGTTTAAAGTTGGAATTTTTTATTTTGCTTCCAACAGCTCAACCAAGACTTAAATTACCTAGGTATGGAATACAAGGCAGTTTGAGGTTGGACATGTGTTCTCGTACTTTCTCGAAATTGTTCCTGTCAGAAAAAATCTCTGCCAATTTTTCAAAGGTGGCTTTTTCCTTTTTGGAAATGTGCTGTATAATAAGTAAAGAAAAAAAAACAGTTTTTTTTTACCTAAATCAACTTGAACTTCATACTTACTGAGCTGAACACAGCTCCAAGCTAATCTATCTTTTATTATCACAGACTATGCTTCTGTGGGTAAAATAACAAAACAACCATTTTCATCATATATATAATACAATATATTAATAATCTTTAAAATAAAATCCATAACACCTTGAAATGTAAGCTAGTTTAGTACAAACAATAACTTAGAGGAGTTTAAAATAAAATGCAAGTTATGATCGAGATTCAACTGAGATTGTACGTCCTCTGGTGTTCAACAGTTTATCATTTTTACAAATGACTACACTAGAAATATAACACTTTTAAAACACTCCTTTCAAAATACTTATACTTTTGTCTGTTTACAATTAAAATTTCATGTCTGGTTAACACTGCTTTGGAGAGTTTATATATTTCATTCACTAATATTTTCACTAAAATCAGGCCAATAATACTTGCCATTATACTTTTAGAAATAATATTCTATTCTTGAATTATCTTGATTATTTTTTGAAACCTACACAAAAAAAACAAACAAATGTACTTGTATTTATGGCAGAGCTACTATGCCTACCTGCTGCCGTCCATTGTTTTGAACTACTGACCAAAAAGAAAGCAGACGGTCAGCAGCATCCTAACACCCATGCTATGGGATTGACTGTCACTCTTATAATGCACCCATAGCTTAAAGTGCAGGGAATATTTTGTGGCATTACATGGATTTGAGCCCAGCTCAGCGGCTCTGAAATCCAGGGCTCTAACACATGGCTAACCCATGCCATAAAAACAAGTAACAAAGCATGCTTTGTTTTAAAAAAGATGCATATTTAATTTGCTTTCTTTTTTATTTATTACTATTATTTCTTGTTGTTGTTGGTTTTTAATAAATAAATTTTGATATTTGTTTTCTTTTTAAATTTGAACTTTAAAATTATTAAATGTTTCAAAATCACCCAAGACTGGAGCAAAATCTTTGACCATCTGAAAACAAGAAAATAACAATCAACTTACTGCCCATGTCCTACTAAGCCTGAAGATTGGAGCACTCTGGAGGGCAGAAATGATAGCAAACTCCGAATGCAAGTTATTAAGTTCATGAAGTCTTTTGGCAATCTTAATAAAGTATGCAACTATTTCTCCTCGTTGTTTTGCTGTCTGACCATTCAGAATTTCCTTTACAGTCCAAAAACTGACCTAAAGCAAAATCATTTACATCTTTCTATATTTATCCAAAAAATTGTAACAGAAACTTTCACATTCGCCTTAAACAGAATGAGATCTTTAAGAAATGAATATTCAAATTAACATGTACTAAAATGAAGAGTTGGAAAATTTTCAAGTAACCCTCTGATGTAAGTAGATACTTATACTATACAGACAAAAAAGAAATGCATCTTAACTCTTTCAATACGAGGTTAGTCAATGTGACGACCTCATAACCATTTGGTGCTTGTTATAGTTTTATGCTATAACTTTTAAATTAGTTTACAAATGTTAAAAAAATTTGGCAGATTATCAGTAAACATTACAATGCTTTAATATGCAAAATATCTAATTTTTTTTATTAAATCGTAAAGTTTGTAAAGCAATGTTTCCCTCATGCCATTTTTTTTTCTTTTCAGATCTTGCCTATCTATCATGCAAAGCAATTTTCATTTTAAGATTCAAAGTACTTTTATGCATCAGAAAATTTTCAAATTTCACATGCAAG